CTCACAAACCCCCACACCCCCCCTCACAATCCCCCACATACACCCCTGCCCCACACACCTCTCCACCCCCCCACATGCACCCCTTGACCCTCCCACGCATGCCCCCCCCCACACTCCAGTAGCTCTATAGGGGTGAGGGGCACCCAGCGCTGGATCAGGGCAGCAGGAAAAGTTTTCTCACAACCCACGTCCTGGGAACAGGATTGGGACATCTTTCAGGAAGCCAGGGGCAGCTCTCTCTGGGTCAGGGCCAGCACCCAGGCAGGGGCAGAGGCTGGCATGATGGGGCTAGCAGGGGGAAGAAGAAAGAGTCATCCCCCCCACGCTAAGAAGGAAAGGGAGGAAAAGAAGTTGGCTTTGCCTTTGAGAGCCAGTTTGCTTGTGCCGGTCTGTAGACCTGGTTCTGAGAGGCATGGGCTTGCCCAGGCCACAGCCAGCTTCACTGGACGCTATCCGCTTGCTTTGGGCAAGTGGGAACCCTGGTGTGATTTGTTTTTCAGCAGGCCTGAGTAGGACACTGTCTGAAGCTCTAGGCAGCCCCTGGCTCTTCCCGGTAGGAAAGGGTCCAGCCTCCCCCCAGCTTCCTTTCCTGAAAAGGGGATTCAGTCCATCATGCATGCAAATGCAGTTCTTGCACCTGGATTGCAATTCTTTGCTTCATCTGTTTATGCAAACGATTTACAAACAGCTTACATAGAGTGCTTTAAAGCAGATCTCTTTTTTGATTTGGTCCTTTTCTGCTAAACATGCAGATTAAACAAGGGTCTTCTGATAAAGATAATTACAAGGGGACTACGTATTAACTTTACATTATTAAAGAAAGACCCAAATCTCCCTTTGCAAGCTGTTCCTGGGATTAGCAAAACAATAACTTTCATTTAGGATAATTGTAATTTCAATTGCTTGGGCTTTATGGTTTTTGCTTTTGACGATTAGGAGGTTTTAGACTTGGCCCAAAAGGAAAACTGAAATTTCTTTCAAAAGTCAAGTCACTCAGGTGTGAAGAGAAGTATGGAGGTGTAATCCTCACACATGCTTACTACCAAATACCACTGGAGCTGCCTGTGATTTTATGAATAGCTTTTCCATCCCCCATCAGGCAGAAACCGAAGCCAGGAAAATTGTTACAGTCATACCTAGTGATGGACAATTGTATAAAAATCTAGACTAGTGACAAACAGACAGACAGTTAAGCTCTCCCTGTAGTATTATTTCCATATCACTTAAATTGCTTTAAAGCAAAAAGACTTTGCTCCAAACTAGCTTGTTAGGAGCCTGGTTAGCTCCAGTAACAAAACATCCTTATTCTTCTTTGCTTGATGTGTTTTTCCCAGTGCATCCAGCCAGATTTTGATCCTGCCAGGATAACAGATTTAATAACCCAACTCTTAGAGTTGAACTTATCCTTTTTCTGTGCCAAGATGTGCACATATATCTGACATATAGATCATAACCTCGGAGGAGCCTTGTATTTGCCACATTCACTTTCCTAGTTTTGCTGTAGTTTTGCTGAAATAAGAGACTTTCACTGCTAACCAGGGAACAAATCTGCCATCGTAATTAGAAGTGGTAATCCAGCCACCACCCACAACAAATTTCCTGTCTGACCAGATATTAGTGGATAAAACCCTAATTTTTGACGTTGCACCAGAATCAGCTTAATTTCAGCAGTTTATGTTAAGGCTGAGCTGCTGCAAGGGATGATGAAGCCTTAAATATGCATATGGCCAAGTCATTTGGAAAGTTTGGGGATAAAGCATATATAATTGCTCCTAATCAGTTTATGAAACATAAAAGCTAAAAATGGAGAGAAAGTCGATAGATGGGGGAATGGAAATAGAGTGTATATCTCCTGCACTCCTCCAGCAAGAAGTGATTACCCACACACATTCTGGGATGTCCTGGATACACTGCCCTGGGACCAGCCCCATGCACGCATGCTCACTAGCACTTTGCACAAGCAGGCTCTATGCATGTAGGAAGCAAAAATAGTGTATACTCCTGACTGAGCCTTTTGACAATACATCAGTTAAGGGATATCTTGATATATGCTCATCAGATAGGATTATCTGGGATTAAACTAATCAGTAAATGTTTCTCTGCTCATTATTTTCCGGGGAAGATTTTCAGTCGATTCTCCAACGCCAAAAGATTATTAATCCTTTAAAGAGCCAACATCAAACATCGCTTCTCGCTCTAATTTCCTTGTGTCTCTCCCTCCCCAGCCAAGGGACACATGGCAGCCCTGATATCGGACTGCTCGCATGCGCGCTATGCCCAGGAGCCAGGCCTAAGTATCACAGCAGATCATGGCAGTCTGACCAGGTTTCTGCCTCCTTGCTGCCCTGTTCCATGTCCTCCATATTGGCTGGCTTGCCCAAGCACATTGTAGACACACTGCCATTTCTGAGACAGCCTGTATCAGCCCAAATGTGCTTCCTCAAGCAAACTGGAGCCCCACAGGGGTTTATTTTTGGGTCCTCCCTCTTTTCTAGACAATCATACAAGAACACAACTCGAATGCAGAAGGACCCCCCACAACCAGCACAGAGCCCTGTGCCATTGGAACAGTTTGCATTGCCTTAATGCTATGCCTAAGTGCACAGCACAGCTCCCCAGTACATCCATGCACAGCTTAGCTCTGCTCAGCATTGCCTCCCTAGGTCCTCGGATAGCTGTCAAAAGGATGTACCAACCTAGGCACAGGTTGTACCTTGCTTCCTGGCACCAACCCCTGGCTTCCCTGTGACAGCAGCACCTCTTCCTCTAGTGGCAAGTGCCATGCAAGGCAGTATCACTCTGGTCATCCCACTGCTTCCATCTGGTGCCAGGCAAGGAATTTTCCTTGTTGCTCCTTGATGCAAAGTCTTTTGCAATTCATGATTACTTGAACCATTCTCACACATCAAAATAGAGACCAGATCCCTCAGCCCTTCTTCATTCATGCTCCTTGTGCTGTATCTGCTCCACTTCTAGATCAGATTTGGTACCTCCCAGTTTCCAGCTCTTTTTGCTATGGATTGTTATTTGGCCATTCTCTCAGTTCTGCATATTCCTCTCTGGAATATGCAGAACCAACTCTGGACTGGGATCTGCAGCAAGTCAACAAATGCTTCTGACCTCAATGTGCTCATCCCAATGATTCCTAGGTGCTTGGGCATCTGGTGGGTTCATTTGCTCCACTGATCTCACAGAGAGAAAGAAAAACAATCAGCAAAGATGATGCCTTTAGTTTCATTGAACCTTGATCTTTTCAGGCTGAGGGTTTGCTGCTTAAGTTGAGATAGCACCAGAAATTGAATGTTTCTTCCTGTATATTGATTAGCAGGGGGGGATCCACCCACCTCTGCTCATCAGCTTTTTTTTGGAGTTATTCTGCACAGAGATTTGTCTGTAGACCTCCTGATACACCATTATTTCTGTTTAGGCTTTTTAAAGATCCTGTTGATATAGTTGGAAGGTAGGGATGAATAAAAACTTCACTATAGGAAACACCAGGAGCCATACTCTTGCGTAGTTCTGGCACTGGCAAAAGTTATATCCGTCCAATGTTTTTCTGGAAATGTCTTCACTGTATAACTACCTAGTTCTCTTTGGCTTATGGATGTAGATTCTCACTGGGTGCAGCTACACGTGCAATTAATGCACCTTAAGGTTACTGTGCTTTAAAATAAGGCTCAGTAAACTGTGCCCGGGAACATGCCTACAACAGAATCATTTGAGGCCGTGGTAGCTCCTGCCCCCCTGCCCTGTTCTGCCCCCCTGCAGCAGCCAGGGGGAGCTCCAGGTTGGGGAGCTCCAGGCTAGGAGGCCTGGGCTCCAGAGGAGTAGGGGTAAGATGTGGCAGAGAAGGAGGCAGCTCCCAGCCACACAGAGTTCAAGATTGCAGTCCGGCTTGGTGACGCTGGCTTGGGGTGATGCCCCGTGGCTAAGAGGCAGCAGACCCCTGAACTCTCTCTTTGCTTTGCTTTCTGAGGGGACAGGGGAGCTCTCTGTCCCCAGTCCTAGCACTGCTCAGCTTCTGGCTCCCCCTAAGCAGCACCGGGGGGGAGATCTCCTGGTGCTGCTCAGGCTTAAAAAAAAAAAACTTAAACAGAAATAATGATGCATCAGGAGGTCTACAGACAAATCTCTGTAGAATAACGCCAAAAAAGAGCTACTGAGCAGAGGTGGGTGGATTCCCCCAGCTAATCAATATACAGGAAGAAACATTCCATTTCTGGTGCCCATGGGGACAGAGAGCTTCCCCTGACCACACCCCAGTCAGCTCCCACTCCCCGCTTATGCCTGGGGAGAGCCAGGAGCTGAGCAGCACTGGGACCAGGGACAGAGATT